TTCGTGTAGCTGCAGCTACAGCGAAAATATATTGAAAAATTAAAATGAGCGTAGCGTCCAAAATTGTGGGGGTGTAGAATCACCTGACATTAGAAGAGTGCAGCGTCCAAAAATTTATCAAGACTTTTTTTCTGATGTGAAGACGAAAACTACGTGTTCCATTAGCTAACCGGACGTATTTCTGTCAAACGGAACTAAGCACCAATTTGAGTCCTTTTTGAGGAATTTAGAACGCCGGATAGCGCGTTCTGTCAAACGGAGCTAAGCGCCATGAAAAAGCATTGCGAGTATAGGACGGAATTAGCCCGACGCCCGGTTCCGCCGCCAATCCAAGCCCCCATCTACCTTCCTCCCCCTATGGCGCTTAGGTCCGTTTGACAGAAATATGTCTAACTGTGCGTTAGGGAGGAGAGGTTAGGTTAGGTAAGTTAAGTTAGATTAGATAAGGAAAATATGCGATTTGCTGTAACGATGGGGAATGGATGGACATTAAAAAACTGAGGGAGGTGTCCATGCTATTGGACTCCATGCGCAAGCAAAGAAATGAGAAGTGCAGCCATGAGCATGGAGTCCAAGATCTTGGATGAGATGAGCAGGCAAGTATATTGAGGGTGAGCATGGAGTCCAATAAAATATTGTAAATCTCTCCTTGATTGCCCCCCCCCCCTCCCGAGCGCGTTACGAAATTTACGGGCTGCCCCTCTGTGTCCCTAATAGAAACTGCAGGTGATCGACCATACATTTTGGAAGGAACCGAGTACCCTCAGAGCAAATGTGCCCTCAAAAATAAGCGCGAACCCGAAGTTGCCCGCGAATTAGTTTGTTCTCCATTGTTTGCGAAGAAGCTTATGTCAGAGCCCGTTTTCCAGACAGTTTGGCTTGTGCGCGCCGCCGAGGAGACGGGAAGTGTTCAACTCGAATTGAGAGCAAATAAACTTTGCCGGGTCGATATCACCGTTCTGGAGAGTGATTAAATGAAAACCAACTGTTAACGGCCCGTTATTGCCTGTGTTCCCGCTCACGAAAGCTGTTAGCCTGCGCTCTCGCCAACCGAGGCGGAAATTGCAAAATCGCCAAACAATTATTTCGACCGCTCGATATCGTGTTAATTAAGGAACGCTTCCCGACTATATATAGGCCACATTTCGTCGCGACTCTGACATAAGGGCGTATCTCAGTCTCCATGTGAGCCCTGTTCTCCATAGAATTCTACGCTTTCCGCGGCTCATATACAAATTGAGATACGCCCTTACGTCAGAGGAGCGACGATTTATTGGAGGGGAGGCTCTCATCATCCTCGTCCTTGTATTTCAACACGTAACATTTGAAAGTTAATTTGTACACTTTTTCCAGTTCTCGATCAAAAGTAAGCATTTTTCAGTTGAATGACGTGGGACGGCAGTTTTTTTTTTTTTTTTTTTTTTTTTTTTTTTTTTTTTTTNTTTTTTTTTTTTTTTTTTTTTAAATTGCGCTTTAGATAAATCATATTCACCAGTTAAATCTCTCCTTACAAATGGACGTATTTATGCTATAGGGATTGCGTGCAACGCAGTTCCTTTTATCATAACGTCCAAATCTCCTCTCATTTTGTAGTTTCCCCTGCAAAAGACCGTAACTCCATTTCACTGTTGCCAACTTTCCCCTCGCTAGCAGTATATTAACCAGGAGAATCTTGGACATTTGGATATCAGAGGGAGTGTCAACTCCCTAATGGATTGAGGGAGGACCGAGTTATGAGGCGATTAGGCGGCGCAGAGCGCCTGAGAGCGCTATAAAAGCGACTCATGTGTATGTATCTTGGACATTTCCAATTGAACATTTCACTGGTTTTTCCTCAGATCTCGTGCCAAAATCAGAAACAATTTTGATAAAAATTTGGCAGGTACATTTTTGTTAAAAAAATAATTGTTTGAGTCTATTCGGCATCCTTGAAATCGAGTTACCTACGTTTCCTCGTCCGGGAGACGACGATTTGGACTGCATTTTGCAATTTGGAACTATAAATTCTGGCTCTTCTGGAAAACACTCATGTGCATATGGAAACTAATGTCACATACATTGTTTTTAAACTGGACTAGAATTTATAGTTCCAAATTGCAAAATGCTGTCCATTTGTAATTTTGCACATGCCTCGGAAACTTGACTCCTATTTGAGTACTCTACTACAACCACCACTATTACTACTACTACTATGTCTACTCCAACTAATACTAATACCACTACTCCAATACGTTTCACAAGGCTGAGCTTACATTGATGGTTATTTAATGAGATTAGAGAGGTCTTCTTGACGATGCGATGGATCTCTCTCGAATTTATTTCTCTCTCAAGTCGTTACGCTGTCGTAGAGACGCATGCAAATTTCCGGCACTCAATGGAGACGGTTGGTCGGGTGCATTTAAATTTGAAACCCATTAAAAACTACCACGTCTCGTCGTTAAACCCTCGACCCTTTCACGGTAGATTTGCGACCCGGACGCTGGACGCGCTGCAACGCGACGCTCAGTGACACCGGAAAAAGGGTTTCTGGACGACGGAAATTCTGTGCGCAGGAACTGATTCTTGGAGTAGATCAATGTGCGCCGCCACCGAAAATAGAAAACCCACCCGCTTATCTCACACCTCATTTAGTTTTAAACCCATCTGACCCGCATCCTACGATGGAAACTTCGTAAAGAGCGCTATAAAGCGTTAAGTGAATAATGCAACGCTTCCCACCATTCGGGCTTAACGGTGATGATCTTGTACAGCAACGTACGTACAACCTCGCGAAAATCAAAACTGCCTAGCATTCATGTAATGAGAGATTACGTTCAAGAAAAATTAAATAGCGTGATACCATAAGATCCATGGTTTTGGAAATAGCTCGGAGATTTCGCAAAGTTATGGTAGATGGTAGGTACCTCCTACTTACCTATCCTTTGTATGAAGCTAAGCTAAATGCATCCTTAAACCGCCTTTAATCACAATGTAAACCATATGGGGCCAGTCCAGGGTCTTTCTAAGGAAAGGAACTGTTTCAGGAACTACTATGATTGCAAAGCTCAATGGAGATGTGGCCGGTTTGCTTAGCACCATCTACATGAATGTCGCGCAGAGTTTTACTCCCACTTCCCATGAGTGAATTAAAGAGACACATTTTTCTGTATGGAAGGGGTTATTATTTCTCATTTCTATTGAATGTGCAGTTTTTACAAATGTCTCATTGTAAATAGTCGCTTCATTTTACTAGTTAGGTAATTATCTTATTGTAAATATTTGCCTAATTTACTAGTTAGGTAATCGTCATAGGAGGACAGTTAACTAGCTTATTAAGCTTACATTTAGTTTTTATCATGCACTCGTCTACTTCGTCAAGACTACTCAAGACTTCGTCTTCCTATATTCTTTACATTTTGTTAACACAAAATCAACTTAATTTAGGACCAATGCCGCAAAAATGAAAAGATAAAATAAAAAACCCGGGACGTTCCGCTGCAGTATCAGAACTGCGATTTCAACCGGAAAAAAGAAAATTAAAAAGTAAAAAAGCGAGCCTCGTCGTTGTTATTGTGAGACTCTGCTTTGAATTCTCTGTTCCTTCACCTCGTGAAATTTCCTTTTTTCCGGTTGAAAAATGCAGATACTGCTAAACGCCGTTCCGGGTTTTTTATTTCATGTTTTTACTTAGGCGGCCTGAGTCACAAGGCCTCGATTGACGATCAAATTCCCCAGTGGCGTGCGGTCCGGATAAGCAAGGCAAGCACTGCTTGCCCAAAGATTTCAAAAGAAAGAAGAAAATTACACCTGTTACATGCATTTTTTACATTTTAGCAAATATAATTTATAAAAGGTGTTCAGTATGTAAATTGCATTGAAAACAGAAAGAGAGAGAGACAGAAATACGTAGAGAGAGCGGATGGAGGTGGCGCAGCGCGCTGCGCGGCCTAAACACGGGCCGACTCATGCGCTGGAGAATCGCTTGCGATCAGCTGAGCGGAGAGCCACTGCTCGGCGGCGGAATCAAGGCGGGCGGGTAGGGCGGTACGTTCCGAGTCCGAGCCCTTCGCTGCGCGATCGCAGCTCGCTTCTCTTGGCCATGTCTTGGCCCGTCACCGCACCGCAGCGCGCTGCTTCTGCCTCCGATGCGCTATCTTGCTCCCTCTTTCCGTCGCGGTTGTAGCTGCTCCTTCGGAGCAAATGCCCTTAAATTCTATAAAATTTCGCTCACTTGATCTAATTAGTGATGAATTAGAAAATTCTCAAACATGTTTAAAATGCAGAAAATTCTAATTTTCTAACTTATTTTTCTAATTTCTAATTTTAAACTCAAAAAATTCTAAATAATGTAGAATAAAGACTACAATATCTCAAATAAGTGGCAAAATTAGGAGTTAAGAGCATGGAGCCGTCCTCTAATGCTCAATAACATTCGAAACAAGTTGAGTAAACGAAATCATAAGTAAGAGAGAAAGTAATAAAACCACAGTTTTTCAAGACGTTCCATCAGATTTCTTCCGAAAAACAGAGCATATAGAGTAAAATTTTAAGAATTTTCTAGGGAGGCTAGGGGGAGGAGGAAGGGAAAGAGACTACGTTAAACCCCCCCCCCCCCCCCCGGATGGCGAACGCTAGAGCTTGCCCTGTCACTAAACCCACCGCACGCCACTGAAATTCCCGAACCAATCCCGATCAAAGTAGCATCAAAGTGTCGGGAGTCATCAGTCTTAAACTCATTAATTTGCTTCATTTTAAAATGAAAACCTGCGGCAGAAATGTTTCCTGTGGCAGGAAATGATGAATGGTGGCACTCCATTCTGATCTTACCTTGAACAAATAAGTGCAGCCCGTCAAAATTTGATGGTAGCTGGTGACCACCAGTCATCAGCAGGTCTACTTTGATCGGAATTTGATCGTCTATGCAGGGCTTCATTGCAAGTTGATTTTGTTTCATCGTTTTGGGTCGATGAAATTGTTTCTTTATCATTTCCTTAAGTGCGTTACTTTTGTAATGTTTGCAGGTGCGGCGGCTGTCGGACCAGGGCGGAACGAGCGGGCCCTCCCCGCGGGAGGCGGCCTTTCTGGCGACGCTGACGCAGGCGCCGGCGCCCGGGGCCGGCGGGCGTCGCCACTCGGTGGTCACCATCTCCCGGGCGCCGCCGACGCTCTTCGGGCGCAACCGCCGGGAGTCCTTCGCCGCCTTCCCGACGACCGGCTTCCCGCTGGCCCGCCTCGCCCGGAGGGACTCCTCCTCCTCCATCGCCCGCTCTCCCAGCGGCTCCGGCAGCTCCTTCAACCTCCAGCTCGACATCATGGACGATATCGCCGAGATCAAGGCGCGCAAGGTGAGTCCTTCTCAGACCCCCGCCACTAGAGCTCTTGGTCACACGGGTAACTCCTACTCTCTGGAAACGGTATACAGACAGAAGGTCTACGGCAAAAATGTCCACAAGCAGAAAGTCTACATTTTTTGGTCTACGTTTACAATGTCTAGAACTAAAAAGTCTACTACGAAAATGTCTACAAATAATAATGTCTTCTAAAAAAAAAAGTCCATACTCACGGGATTCAACATTCCCTTAAAGACCTCAATGTACGATGCATTACCGAATCAATTCCGACCAAAATATATCATTTTGACGTTTTTCTACCAAACGGAACTGTGTGCGGGTGGGAAAAATGGGTTTAATTAAAATCGATATTCATATCTGAAACTCTGGAAAATTATATTCTTTTCCCCAAGAAAATCTTTGGAAAGTGGGAGAAAACTTCGGTTTCTCATCGGGGAATGAGCTCCTGAAAATCAGGGGAAAATCAGGGGAAAATCAGGGAATGAGCTTTGCTAAGAAGACTGAGCTTTGCCAACTAGACACCATGTTTTAGACGACAGGTAAGGATTTTATCTCTTGTTTTGTATGCTGCCGTGCTAAGCAAGAACGCCGTAAATCCATCAAGATTTTCCCTCGGTTTTGGAACTCAACACTTTATAAAATAAAAACTGTTTTACCCATGCACCTCAAATGTTCAAGTTAAGTCCTTGGTAGTATTTGCGAAAGAATTCTGCAATAACATTGTCCCGAGGTACACGAGTTTTTCTATTATGATAAATGGGCCTGTTGCAAACTTTTGCTATATCAAAACTAAGATTTGTTTCTTATAGATAATGCCGCAAAAGTCACGATGAGCGCATTGGCAAAGTCTGAAATGCACTCATAACTTCACAATCTGCGTAAGAAATTTGCGGTTTTTTGAGCTTCCCGCTTCAAAAACGATACTACGGCACAGGTGAACATTTTGTTAGAGGAGGCGTTCTATCGTCGGCAATATTCATCATGGCCGACGCCAATTCGCCAAAACACGAATGATGAGACGAGATAACACCTGAACAGCATTAGACCAGATAACAATCGGCGTGTTTACGTTCATATTTTCCTCGCCCGCCTTGATTGACCCTGAACTCACCTCGAATTACGGGCGGAACTGCGGAAGCGTCGGCCATGAACATTGCCGACGATGGAACGACTCCTCTAACAAAATGATCACCTGTGCCGTAGTATCGTTTTTGAAGCGGGAAGCTCAAAAAAACGCAAATTTCTTACGCAGATTGTGAAGTTATGAGTGCATTTCAGACTTTGCCGATGCGCCCATCGTGATATTTGAGGCATCATCTGTAGGAAACAACTCTTATATTTGCTCTAGCAAAAGTTTGCAACAGGCCCATTGTTTCCAAAAATGTAAATTGGCGTTTTCGCGTTGCACGGGAGTATGCGACTAAGGTTGGAGTTTGGGATTGCAGGTGCGGATGAAGATGTGGAAGGACTCGGACTCGAGCCAGAAGATGTGCGAGGTGCAGCCGCTGAACGGCGGGCAGTCGGCGCGCTACTCCCAGTCGGGCGTGCTCAAGGACCGCCGCTATTCGGACGTCTCGGGCCTGGCCCAGGGACAGGGCCCCTCCAAGGCGGCCCCGCGCCGGGCCTCCGAGCTCCCGCCCATCCCCTCAAGGACCTCCACGCCGCCCCCGCCTCCGCCGCCCCTCAACAAGAACTCCGGCATCGTCATCTCCAACAACGACCTCATGTCCATCATGACCTCGCTCACCTCCTCCGCCCAGGAGATCTCCCTCGCCTCCAAGGCCACCGACCTCGTTTCAAACATGGTAACTCGAATTACATCATTTCGGGGACTCCGGGCCGATCATTGAACTTTATAGACAAAGCTATAGGTAAAGAAAAATTAAGGAGCGTAGAGCCATCTTATTGGTTGGAATGGGTGGCTCTTATAGACTTAGGGGGTAAATGATGGAACAACTATCGGGACTCTCGTGGGTTGTCGTTAGTTAGTCTATTACCTACGTCCTGTGTCCGTTGCAGGGAGGAGGTCAAAATGTAGAAGACATTGGGGGGAGTGGCTATAGGGTAAAAGTCCGGGGAGAAGTGCACACTGTACAGTGTACAGCCCTGAGAGGGGAAGGTTAAAAACCAGTCATCTATGGAGGGGGGGTGTCAAAATCCAGGGGTATCCTAAGCTAGGGTAGGATACAAAAAAAAAAAAAAAAAAAAAAAAAAAAAAAAGCGAGGTCCTCCTCCCCCTCCTATTTCCAAAGTAAATAGGTACTCTAATGAAAAACCTGGGTTGAACACCACTGGGTCAGTTATAAAAATAAGTTAGTTTTTCTTGATAAAGATGAAAAAGTATACCGAAACACGCATATTGTTGTTGGCTGGTTTTTTAAACATTTTTCAACATTTGTTCATTTTTGACCAGTTCCCAAGTGTTTTAGTTCGCTTTGCCTCTCGATATTCTTCTCCATCATGCATTGTGACAATTCTTTACTGTAATTAACTTGTTTCCGTGTTTTGTTTTAAGTGCTTGCTGAAGATGGGCTAAGCCCGAAACGCATCCAAGCCATTAAACCTCATTCAACAATATGCATGTTTCGGTATACTTTTTCATGTTTATCATAACAGCACGCGAGATGCGTTTTTCCAGTTAGTTTTTCTTGTTGTTTAGCACTGTTTAGTGCTTTGAGAATGAATTAACTTGGCTGTGGTATGGTTTCAGGTGTCCTCGGCGAACAAGTCGTTGCTCAGCTCCAAACGGAGCCTGCTCAAGTCCTCGCGGTCGAACAGCTTCGACGTCTCGATGCTGCCCGGGAAGGACGGGAAGAAGGCCGAGCCCAAGTCGGTGCCGGCCAGCTGGATCGCGAAACGACACCAGCCGCTGGCCACCAAGCGCCACGACACCCAGGCCGCCCCCGCCGCCGCCCCCATCCCCGCCGACGTCGTCGTCACCTTCACCGACAAAGAGAAGGCCACCAAGAACATCCTCATAAGCAATCCCCCGGAGAAGGAGCCTGAAGAAAGGAAGCCTGAGAAACCTACCCAGGTCAGCTTTTAGATCAACTACCACTCAATTTTTTTTTTTTATTTTTTTTATTTTTTTTTTTAACGCCACGCCGAAAATGGAGTATCCGCTCGTCTTCATCCTTTAAGATCTGTTTGATTAACTCTCATCTTCGTTTTTTAGACCCGAAGCTTGCTTTAATGGACCACTAGATAAGGTACGAATTTTAGCAATCTGATACATGTTTCCTCACCAGAATTTTACGTAAAACACGATTCACACGACGAAAATTACTGAAACCAATTTCTAACGAAGATATTAACGTTTTTATTTCACATTGGTTACGAGGAATTTGAATTGCCCGCTCACAAGAAACTCAAAGCTCTACGTGAGTCAAATCGCGCACTGCAACGGTTTCAGCAAGCTTCTCAATCGAGCAATGTTCATTTTTCACCATGTGTTGTTCAAACTATAAGCAATTTGCTATAGCTGAGCCAAAGCGTCAAGATCGAGGTTGCCAGATTTTTATATCGCAGAGACTGTCATGATAACGTTTTGCGCTCGATGCGAATCACGTAGAGCATTGAGTTTTCATGAGCGGATGGTTTGAATTCACGCATTAAGAATCATTAAATATCTTCGCAAAGAGTTGATTTCGGTAATTTTCGTTGTGCGCATCGTGTTCTACGTAAAATTTCGGTTGTGAAACGTGTAACAGAATTCTGAAATTCGTGCCTTGTCTGCTGGTCCATTGTCAAGGAATCATCCAGATCCGTAGAAACATTTTGCCTGCCAAAAACTGCACAAGAAAAATTTGGAAGAATTTTGGAAGAGCTTAGTGAAACCAGAAATGACGCACTTCCTGTGTTGAAGCACCACTCGATGATTCCTGTCAACTTTTGCCTTATCTTTTGTCCCTGTCTAGTACCATACTACTCTACTGGCAAATACACACCAGAAATGGGTAAGAAAACCGCAGATTCGGATTTAGCGACCCAAAAAACACCAAGTACGCCAAGAAACATAGCTGTGTACCTGAAATTCCAGGTAGCCTCGTTTTTAGCTGCCAGGCGCCTGAACTATTTCTCAATTTTTTCGGAAATGTGGGTTGGTTCCCTTCTGATAAACTCGATCCAATTAGCACTTTCTCCAGAACACTTGGATTGCATTTGGCAAGAAGGAACCACGAACATTCCATTGTTGCTAAGATTGTGCAGCCTACATTGCTTGCAATAAAATTACTGAAACCTTGCAAAAAGTTAGATCAACTATGGTAATTTTCGTATTTAATTTACAATTTATTGGTAGTAAAGATAAGACCTATTTAGATAATCAGTTTATCTTTGCAAGCAAAGAAAGGTTGCACAATCCTAGCGACATTGGAATACTCTTGGTTCCTTTTTGCAAAATGCAATCCACTTCTTTAGTCTGAGCTTATGAGCTTTCGGTACGAGCTCCGGTCTACTGTCTCAGTATTATTTAGTATTATTTTAGTATGATGTGGATTGCGTTTTGCAAGAAGGAACCACTAGCATTGCAATGATGCTAAGATTGTGCAACTTCATCTTTTGCAATAAAATTGCGGTAATTGTGAAAAACAATGAAATTTAGATGGTAATTTTTTTCTTCAATTTACAGTTTTTTGCGAGGAAAATAGAAACTATTAAGGGATAACCGGGTTTTTCCTCCAAGACAAAAGAAGTTGCGCACAATCTTAGCCAAATTGCAATGCTAGTGGTTCCTTTTTGTAAAGTGCAATCCATTTTAGTATGATGTAGTAGTGGGCCCTCCTAAGATGTGACGTTACTTTGGATTTCAGAAAGTCGTGTGGGACAAGCCGACGGGCTCGACGGTGGACCCGGCTCTGTTGGGCTCGGTGATCGAGGACTTCCTGGTGAAGAAGACGTCCGACTTGTCTCCAGAGGCGGGGGCGGGGGCGGGCTCCAAGGCCGGTTCCCCGGGCCCGGGGCCCGGTCCGGGCGCGGTGGCCATCGACATCTGCGACAATCAGCCGCAGTCGGGCTCCGGCGCCGCCGCCGCCGCACCGGCCAAGGGCAGAGCCGCCGAGCTGGACAAGGCCGAGGAGGAGGAGTCCGAGGAGAGGTGCAACTCCTCCCTGTGTTCCACCATAAAGGACCTCTTCGTCAAATAGCTATTCTATTAAACCACCGCATTCGTCTCTCACCTTGAGGGAGTAGGGTAATCTCTCGTCAAAATCCTGCCGTCATGCCGAGGAGAGCAGTAAGTGCAAAAATGAAATTTTGAGAAGACGGGCTCACAAGCCTCTGACCGGAAAATGTTATCGGGAGTAACCTCCGTTCCTTGTCAAATTGCCACTAATCGTCCTTAAGATTCCTAAAAATCGTTTGGATGTTTAAAAATCGACTGATTTGATTTCCATCATATGGATTGCATTTTGCAAAAAGGAACCACTAGCAGTGCAATGATGCTAAGATTGTGCAACTTCATCTTTTGCAATAAAATTGCGGAAATCGTGAAAAACTATGAAATTTAGATGGTAATTTTTGTCTTAAATTTACAGTTTTTAGCGAATAAAATAGAAACTATTAATGGATAATCGGGTTTTTCCTCCAACACAAAAGAAGCTGCACAATCTTAGCAAGATTGCAACGCTAGTGGTTCCTTTTTGCAAAATGCAATCCATATCAAGAGGGTATTTTTCATTTTCATGCTAGGTTATGGTTAGGCAAGACAGCCGTAAGTGCTATCTTCTGCATGCTTTCGTGGTTGCTTTTTGGACGTAGAACTAACACATTTTCTGGTTAGATTCCGCAGAAAAGGGCGGCACTTTACTTGAAATCATCGTATTCATTGACTCTCCGGAAGAATAATGTCACTTACTGTTGTCTTGCCTAAAACTATGTCATTTGTTTGCGCACTTACGGCTTTCTCATATGTCTCGTCTTGATAAATTAAGACGAATTTTGCTGTTTTAGCTATTTCATTGATTTCATCTAAAAGAGTTGAGACGAAGTTTGTAGGAGACTCGTCCTCGAAAATTTGACACTTACTGCTCTCTTCGCTGTCACGGCAGAATGGGTACTCGCCCGTAGAGTACAATTTAGTTGCTTCGTGCTGGAGCTCCGATTAAGTCACTTTTTGAGGCTGCTTGCAGTCCTCATGAGACTAGTCGACGTTTCGCTTACGAAAGAACGTAAACACTTTTCAATGTTTTCGAATTACCTCTCGTAAATTGCTCTTTAACACGGAGAATCTTAGGCATTCCATACCGAAAATTGTCGAATTACCCCTCGTAAATTGTTCTTTAACACGGAGAATCTTAGGCATTCCATACCGAAAATTTTACCGATTTTCCCGCGAATTCATGCAAAAATCAGACAAATTTTGGTTTAAAATTGCACTCGTAAATTTTTGCAAAGTAACTCAATTTTCTGAGTCAATCTGGCAAACCTGGAATGGAGTTACGTTCTTTCGTCCGGAAGACGACGTATCGTGCGGAGACTGACGATGCCGTATGCGCGGGGTCCCAGCAGCAAGCTGATCGTTGAAATTTTAAGTTTAGCCTGTGTCACACTATCAAATTACTCCATCAAAATGTCAAGGTCAAGGGCTGTGATCGGTCCCAGTCATCGCACAAGCCGATCACAGCACCGGACCTTGATCTTTCGATGGCCATCTTTGATAGTGTAGCACAGGCTTTTGTGGACCGGACTCGGACGACATAGCGACGGTGAAACTACCAAACCACGTATCTCGGTTTGCGACGTCGCAGACTTCCTGTCATACTTTATTTTTTAAATGAAAAACTACTTAATATCCAGTCTTGAAAATTTCTGTGATTTTTCCTCTTTGTGCGGAGAAAATTCCGTGAAAATTTCAAGGAATGATATTGATTTGGTCTACCTCAAAAAAATAAAATGTGAGCGTAGATTTTTAAACACCGCAAACGAGATACGTGGTTTGGTAGTTTCACCGTCGATAGGTGAAACGGTGGTGTGCGATAGGTCTTGGTCTGCTAAGTCGTATCGCTGCTTTGTCGTGCCTTCGTCGGGTAGAATTGACTACACGCTGTCGGGAACTCAAGATGTGCATTTAGCTTGTCGTCATTTCCACCCGACATAGGCACGACAAAGTAGCGATACGACATAGTCGACCAATCACACTCCGCCGTTTCACCCATGCCGCGTCCATGTCCGCCCGACAAGCGCTGAACATCAACAATCGGCCTGTGCTCCGGGCTTCGCTCTGAAAATATACAGGGTTATTCAAAAGTCACGCACCACTGGCCATGAGGGGGATGGCCATTTGAAATTTTTGAGTTGCCCCCTCCCCCCGAGGGGATCAAAAACTGGAAATTACCTAAAAAAGTTTCCCCCTTGGTATGAGGAAAAACGTCTTAAACCGCAAATCGATATCACAAGTAGAACTAAAGTTATGACCAGTGGTGCGTGACTTTTGAATAACCCTGTATGTGTGCACTTTATTTCATTAAGACCGGGAGCGTCGTACATTTTTTAATTTGTCATGACTTTGGTCAACATTGTCATCTAAAATTCGCGAAAATACATCTCGATTTGAAGTAATAAATCCTGAAAACACTCGTAGCCCGCGATTCTCCGGTAAGTAACAAATGTCGTATGGTTCCCTTTTTCCGGCGAAGAGGAGGCTATAGAAATGCACCGTTCAAGAATTGTCTTCAAGGGTGTTCCAGCACGTAGCGGCTCTATTGTACTCCATGCAAACGCCACGCCGAAAATGGAGTATCCGCTCGTCTTCATCCTTTAAGATCTGTTTGATTAACTCTCATCTTCGTTTTTTAGACCCGAAGCTTGCTTTAATGGACCACTAGACAAGGTACGAATTTAAGCAATCTGATACATGTTTCTTAACCAGAATTTTACGTAAAACACGATTCTTACAACGAAAATAACTGAAACCAACTTTTAACGAAGATATCAACGTTTTTATTACACATCGGTTACGAGGAATTTGAACTGCCCGCTCACAAGAAACTCAAAGCTCTACGTGAGTCAAATCGCGCACTACAACGGTTTCAGCAAGCTTCTCAATCGAGCAATGTTCATTTCCCACCATGTGTTGTTCAAACTATGAGCAATTTGCTATAGCTGAGCCAAAGCGTCAAGATCGAGGTTGCCAGATTTTTATATCGCAGAAACTGTCATGATAAATTTCAGCGCTCGATGGGAATCACGTAGAGCATTGAGTTTTCATGCGCGGATGGTTTGAATTCACGCATTAAGAATCATTAAATATCTTCGTAAGGTATTGATTTCGTTAATTTTCGTTGAGCGCATCGTGTTCTACGTGAAATTTAAGAAGTTTAGAAACATGTATCAGAATGCTGAAATTCGTACCTTGTCTAGTGGTCCATTTGATGAGGTGAAACAACAGGGCCATGTGTACGTACATAGGGAGTTTTTAAAGAACACACAAGTTCAACAGCCTAGTACGCCTAACATTTGTCATTTAAGGAGGTATTAGAAATCACAAGACAAGTAGGAAGAATAAAAAAAGAAAAAGAGGCGGAAGAGGAAAATTAGTAAAATTCGATGAAAATGGAAAGGGGGGGGGCAAGGAGCATTGAGCTAAGAAGGGGAAGAAAATTTTGAAGAAGTGGAAGAAAGAGGGAAATAAATGATTCTATCTATTCATCTCTGTATTCTCCCTGTTCTTCTAATTTATCTTTCACTCTCTTCTTCTTTTTTTCTCTCTGATTGTTCCTCCTTTTTAATTTCTTCTTCTTCTCCCTGATAATTTTCTTCTTTCGCATTTCCGCGGTTTCTATTGCGTCCTTATCTGACTTATACAGTGGGAGTCCTATGATGTAAATCTGTCCGAATCGGGTTAAAGAGGAAATACAGGGATGGACTACAACATAGTGCGCTGTCCTGTTACCAAGACCAGCCGTAAGTCTTCAAAACAGTCTTAAGAACGTAGCCCCGATACTATTTTCTGCAGTTTCCATAACTGTTCTGAGCCGAAGATTGTATTGAATAAATTTTCCGTTTTTCGTAAAGTTTTCAATAATCATCCATAAGACCACCATCAATCGTTCACGTAGTTAAAAATCGATGAATCATAACTCAGGGTTGCCACAGCCAGGGAAAACCGGGAAATGTCAGGGAATTTTAAAAAATCAGGCAAAACCGGGAAAAACCCGCGGCAAAACCAGGAATGTCAGGGAAAATTTTTTTAATCACCTTCATTTGCTTCCTGAAATGGGTTTGAGGTTTCGAACAACAATTTTGCCTGAAAACTATTTTCAATTATGCCTGAAATCTATTTTCAATTATGCTTTCTTAACCATCCGTCACATCTTCAACTGTCAGGGAATTTCGCCAAAATGTGCCAGGGAATTTTATTTTCCTAATTCTGTGGCAACCCTGAGTACTTTGGAATAGACTATTGAGAAATTTATGTCAGGAAATGTTCCTGTTCTCATTTGATGCGAACGTGTATTTGCGCTTTATAAAATTGACTATTTGGTTCCCATGTGTTCTGACATACTTGCCGCAGAATGCATTGCGTGGATACTCCATTTTTAAACACTCTGCATCGGTCAGACGCTGATGTACAAGGCCGAGGTGGTGGCAAGGCAAGTGCCCACTCCCACTCAGCCTTGCTAAGGAAAAACACCGCATGAACTTTCGAGAGTCGTTAAATTTCCCCGGATAAGCATATATTTGCGATGATAGTTATTAATATTTTTCCTTGATATTTTCACATACTTTCAAATAAAATTCCAAGTGAAATTCTTTGAAAAATTAGAAGAAATATATTCAACAGTTTCCTTGAAAATTCTTATTTTATTGGGAGATATTTGGCAACGCCTTAAGGCTCATACTGCGTTTTTCTTTAGCACTGCCGCACTGTTATTCAAGGTTACTCTGCGGCTCGATTTTTGAGTCGATACCGAATGACCTCGATCGATAGATTGTATTGCTAATAAGGATTCATCGATCAGGATCATTCGATAACGATTCAACATCGATATCGAATGACCTCGATCGATGAAAAGCATTGCTGAGATAGGGATTTATCGATCAGCCATCATTCGATAACGATTCGACGATCGACCCGCTCATCGAGACTGGTAACGCGAGCCCTTCTTGCATCGAATGTTATTGCATTAATACAAGTCCCCTCCTTGTTTCGAATTCCAACCAACTTCATGAATTGAGAGAAATTTTTATCAAGCCTTTGAGATTTTTCGAATTTTTCCGGTTTTGGACAATTTCACTGAATCATGACGGAATTCGCATCGAATCATTGAGAGCATAGTTAAAATTGATCCGACCAAAAGTTTCACGAATAATTTGTAGCCGTTTCCTGCATCAAATAGAAAATTGGTGAAACTTGCTTTAGTAAATTATTCGTAAAGTAGAAAGACAATCATGTCTGTTAGCAGGCTCTGACTCCACCTCCAGTAAAGCTCTTAGAA